TTAGGTATTTGCAAGTTGTTTTTATGATGCTTTCTAAAGATACAACTTGGCCATGTCTCACTAATAGTAACAACCCCTTGAAAAATTTGAACATCTTTGTTCACCAACATTTAGCACAGCGTCTTATTCAGTGAAGTCTCTCAAAATAAATTGTGATAAATAATTATGATTTGCTTACAACCTAAGCTTACTGAAAATAATTTAGCATGCTGTAGTAGAAAGAGCATTTATTAATTCCAGAAGACAGCTTGGTTTTGCTCTTGACCAGATCTGTAATGTGGGCACATTAAGGTAACTGCTTTGGACTTAGTTTGCTCAGCTGTAAAACGAATGGTTTCAAATAAATTTGATTCTTTTCTAGTACTTCAGTACTCTTTAATGTAGCAAATATTTTGGTGACTTTTGGAAAGTAGGGTTCAGTTCCTCAAGCAAATAGACAGATGTCTAGACTTGAATCCAATTTAAATCCTTATATTTTGACCTTGTATTCTGAGGAGCTAAGATCATCCAGTCCAAATTTTTTTAAATTTAAACTTTCTTTTGTCATCTTACAAAAGATGGTATTATTCCCTAGATACAAAGACTTCCTTTAAAATTGTTTAACAATTAAATTCTTTTGTTTGGAAAATAGGATGTAGTAATTCAACTAGAAATACATTCAAATAATTCCCACTAGGAACTGAAATGCTTTGGTCACCTTGCTTCCAGGGCAATATAACCACAGATCACTGCAGGCTATCTAGTTGATTTCTGCTTAATATGTATTGCTGCCAAAGCTATTAAAGGCAGCCCAGCCAAGTGGGGGTTACAAATTCTGACATTGGAGTCAGACTGCCTGAGTTCAAATTCTAGTATTCTTTCTTTCTACATGTAGGTCTTGAGAATTTACTATGTCTTGCTAAACTCCAGTTTCTATATACTTAAATATGAGATAATTCTTCCTATTCATAGAGTTATAAAATGAGATAATCCACATAGGAGGATACTATCCCTTCCCAAAGTAATCTCTATATTCAGTGTAACCTCTATCAAAATCTGAATGACTTTTTATTTTTTTGTAAAAGTAGAAAACACATTCTAAAATTCATGTGAAATCTCAGGGGACCCTAAAAGTAGCCAAACCAGTCTTTAAAAAAACTTTCTACAAAGTTACAGTGAGGCAATAATATAAGTATAGTCATTTAAGACTATATTTAAGTCATTTAGTGGAATAGAGAACAGAGAAATAAACTGTTGAGTGTTTGGTCAAAAGATTCTCAACAAGGGTGCCAAGATCAATTAGTTAGGAAAGGAGTTTTATCAATAAGTGGTGCTAGGACAACTCAATATTTATATGTAAAGGAATGGAATTGAAACATTACTTTATGTCACCTAGAAAAATTAACTCCAAATGGATTATAGACCCCTGAAAAAAATCAAACACTTAGAAGAAAACTTAAGAGCAAAAGCTTCATGAAATTGAATTTGGCATTGATATTTTGGTTATGACATCAAAAGCAAATGCAACAAATGTTTAATCCCTTGATTTTGTTGGAATATTTATTTAACAAGGAATTTTTAATTGATACCATCAAGATTTACCCTCAAAGAAAATAATCCAGGATTCCTTTGCTATGTCAATAAATGGTTTATCTATCTATTCTTTATTTTCAATATGTGAACAAGATTTAGGACATTATGAAAATACTTAAGAGGTCATGATTTCACTATTACACCTTGAAAGTTGTAGGTAGTTAGCACTGTGGTATTAATGACTGGGTGCATATGCTAAAAGATCTGCAGCGATATATAACGTGGATATAGTCCTCAGAAAACTCGGAATGAAACCATTAATGACCCCCATATCCCACTCCTTGGTCTATACCCAAAAGTCTTAAAATCAGCATATTATAGTGACACAGCCACGACAATCTTTATAGCAGCACAATTCACAATAGCTAAACTATGGAACCAACCTAGATGCCCTTAAATAGATGAATGGATAAAGAAACTGTGGTATATGTACACAATGTAATATTATTCAGCATTAAAAGAAAAAAAATTATGGCATCTGCAGGTAAATGGGTGGAATTGGAGAATATCATGCTAAGCAAAATAAGCGGATCCCCAAAAATCAAAGGCCGAATGTTTTCTTTCCTGGTAAGCAGATACTAATTCACAATAAGTGGGGGGGGGGGCACTAGGGAAGAATAGTTACCATAGATTAGGTAGAGGGAAGTTAAAGAAGGGGAAGGAAAAGGAGAGGATATGGTGATAGGAACGATAGTAGAATGAAACAGACATTATTACCTTATGTACATATATGACTGCAAAACCGATGTGATTCTACAACATGTACATTCAGAAAAATGAAAAATTATACCCCATCTATGTATGATACATCAAAGTACATAAGTGAATTATACTGTCATATATAACTAATTAAAACAAATTTTAAAAACTAACAAAAAAAAGAAAGAAAGGGGAAGGGCTCTACCAAGAATTTAAGCATTAAAATGTAGCTCAACTATTTGAGCAAGTATAAGAATAAGAATGACCTACACAATGATTAGAGCCAAGATTTTGGCATTTGATTGAGTTTTCCCTACACTAAGCTTCCACGTTAAGTACAATAATCATAAGATAGTAAAAGTTCAAGATATTGGGGAAAAAATTTCTGTTAGGACACAAATAATCTCAGATTTGTCCTTTTCCCACCTCTTAGTCATTTCTCTTTAGGTCACAATTTCCAATCTCTTTTTAGGAAAAAGGTTGTCTTCTCCAATAAAGTCTCAATTTTTAGAATCATCTTCCTCTGAAATAATAGTTTTGAAATTAATGGTGGCTCCTTAAGAAGTGTAATGGTATGCTCAATGTCCTAGTGTTGAACTTCAACATTTTTTCAAAGTCTTTCAACAAAAAGGTTAAAACTTGGTTCCAATTTTCTTTGTAAACAATTCCTCACTCCTATTGTCAAGAATTTCTATTCAACAAACTGCAATGTACTATTATATGACTAATAAAGGAAAACATGGTTATTAGGAGATTTGTGCTACCTTCAAAATTACTGGTAGAAATAAATAAGTATTCAAAATCACTCCTAAAAATGAAAGAAAAGAAAGTCCTGGGAGAACTGGGCGGAAATAGTGTGTGACCATTATTTTGTAAATGATTTCTGAACATCAGTCAAAGAATGCTATCAATCAAACCAAAGCAATTCTTACTTGTCCTTTAGCTCTGGGCCACCTGCAGTTTATATTTGTATCTCAAGGCCTTTTCTAAGAAGATTGAAAGTATTTTCATTGGTGCTGTTCTAATGAAATATCTGAAAAATTTCAAGCAAATTCTCAAATTTCAAACAAAGTCTCAAACAAATTTCCTTTTTGCTTTTTCTCCAATTAAAAATTGAGGAATCTTAAATGTTACTCGGGACATAAAAATAATAATGTCTAATGTAAGACACTGCACATTTAGGATACACATAAAGGTTCATTGTTACAGAAACCTTCAACAGAACTATCTGCAGAAGAAGAAAGTATTATGTATGTATTTGAGTAGTCTTCCACTGTGTTCACATTTGAATACCATGTCAGGTTTATCTTTCTCATTTGTTTCTATTTACTTTAGTATCTTTGATTTCTTTAGTTCTTAACTTCAGTAGATACGCTCCAACAAATCATGTAGTAACATGCTACCAGAAAATTCAGTCTCTGAGATTTGTATCTGCTCAAAGCATTTGAAGGATTCTAAACCTTTTCAGTAAAAATACCATCTACTTACATCTACTTATCTTTTTTTGGTGAAAAAATACCTAAACATTTTCATCTATGTACATAATTGTGATTTGTTAGGTGACATTACAAAAGAAAAACAATATCTGAACATCTATTACTTTGGTCTTTCAATTTTGTTGGAACATGCTAATAGTACAATAAAGACATTAACATCATCTCAATAAATTGAGCACATAAGCCACTCCATGGAAAATGGCTCCCTAGATAGAGAAATATAGACATTTTCTAATGTTTATTACACAATAAAACTGTTTAAATAAAATTCAAGTATCAGAATTTACACCTGTGATAAAAATTTCACTTAACTTTAAAGCAGAACTATTGGATTATAAGAAAGTGCTGTTCCACAACAAATGGTAGTACCTCAGCAGCACACACAAATAGCATAAAAAAGTGATCATTTCCTAAAGCAAGTGCCCAGGGATATAGAGAATTACTTATATTAATATTACATAACATATTGAAATACGTACAGAACACTTAAGTAAACATTTTCCCCTCATTTCTGAAGAATGTGAAGAAACATTTGGCATTAACTGATAGATACCATAATTACCTGTTTCTTTTATAGAACCAAATTAACATAGATACAGGGTTAACTTCTTACATAGAGCCAAAATAAAAATTTAAAATATTCCAAACTCTCATTGTAAAAGAAATCTATTGAAAACTTTGAAATTTTACAATAAAGTAGTCTCTTTAGAAACTTAAGAATATTGTGATTCGTTAGGTGACATTAAGAATATGTCTGTGGGATTCTTTAAAACTAAAAAAAAAAATGAAACATTAAAACAAAGATACTTTTTCAAAGAAAACAAAATGCTACAGAAATTTGAGAAGAAATTAAGTACTTAAGTTTTAGTACAAAGTCTGAAATTAAGCATATTATATTTGCTGCTTTCATATGAAAAGTAGTAGAATCTCTCTCTTACTTGAAAGTCTACATAAATACCTATTATACTCAATTTTAATCAAAATATCTATCAGAAATCTTTTTTAAAAAATTGAATACACTCTCATTTTAGATGACATCTATATCTGGTATCTACTAAAATACCTTATAGACAAAGAATGCAAGAAGCATTTCTTTACTTTCCTTCCCTTCAACCCAAAATCAGAAATCTTAAGTATATGTTTTACAAAATGGCATATACCACTGAAAATAAAGAAGTCATTTCCTTCTTAACTACTATTAAACTTTGTATAATTAATACACATACACACACGTGCACACACACAAACCCACCATATTTTATTTTAGGTATGGGATCTAAATGGAGTCACAGTAAAACGTATGACAACAACAAATTCTTTACACTTATATGAAAATATGTATGTTCTCTCTCCTTTTCCTTAAAGCTATACATCATGAATTTTCTACTGGAATTTTTGAATCAAATTATTATAAGCATATTTTTTCACCAATTTACCTCTTTTGTGTAGGAGACACTCTAAAAAAAATCTATGACTGCAATAGAAAGTTTGGAAACCACTCAAATACATACTCTTTAGAAAAATAATTCTTAATCCAATATGCATCTTAATGAGCTTGTACATTTTAGAAATTATTTTATGGCTTATGTTTAAATGTAATGCATTACCACAGGTTCCAGGGATTGAAGAATCTTATTGGCAGTCAACAGCTCAAGGGGTGACAATATTTCCAGCATTCTTAATCTCAAAAATTTTAAAGAATACTATTCATTATAGTCTTAGAAAAGTCTGAAGATACTTCTATCAAAAAAAAAAAAAACATACTTACCACAAACAGATACAAGGGAAACAAATAAGAAAATAGATTGTGTTATGTCTTTGTAAGCTTGTTCCATTTCAAAATGTGTTCCTTAGAAGGTCAGGGAAATTTCCTATACAAATAAAACTAGACTTTTGTTCCCTCTGCTTTGAAAAATATTTACAGTACATGAAACTACAAGTCAAAAGTATAAGCCTGCTTAATATTGCCAGACAGTGACACAGATGAACAAGAACACAAAGTTGCTTATTCAATTTCTTAAACATCTTAATTTGTTTGCATAATGAAGTTATTTAAATCAATTATGGAAAAATCAGAAAACATTACTAATGAACATCAGCCCTTGTGTATCTCACACAAGATGCCAAAGTATAATACATTCACTGTGGTAAAAACTGTACATATATATTCTATGTATCTTTAACATTGAAAAATTTACATTATAATATTTCATCTCTCAAAAAACTGAGTTGAAAAAGAGTCTATTTTATCTTTTGCTAGAGGAGAAGATGTAACTGACAAAATTCATGATACTTTTCACAAACTTTCTTGCTCAAGACGCTTCATAGTATCCTCTACAGATGGCTGAATGAAGAAAAATTCACAAAAGTTTGAAGTTTTGAGCAAGTATTTTCACATCTTTGCCAGCGGGCATCATGGTTTATATAAGAATGATATGTGTAAATATAGTCCATAGTATTGTGAAATATAAAACTTTCTTTTCTAAGTGTACTTTGGTCTCAGTTTAAACACGATTTCTTTCATCCAGACATGCTGTCCCTTATTTGATCCACTCGAAGTGCTAGGTCCCTGAAGGTGGGGCGTTGATTTACATTATTGTTCCAGCACTCTGTCATGATCATATAAATCTGTAAAAGAAAAAAAATTTACAATAAACCCTAAGTATCATCTTTTTAATTGGTGGAAAATGAATTTGGAATTTCTATTTAATTTTCCGATAGATTACATATTTCATAGCTATGCCTCGATTCTCAGTCATCAATTTGTGCTATTTATGTAAAAGCTCAGCAATTTCAGTGACCTAAAATTGTAGAGTAAAAAGAAAAAGAAAACACATGATTACTGTGAATTAAAAAAAAAAAAAATGCTACCTCATCTGGGCATCCATCTGGCCTTGGTAATCTTCCATTACTCTTCAAGAGTTCTATCAAATGGAACACAATCATCTGTCCTTGCTTGTCATTGCCAATCATACGCATAAATTCCTGAAATACAAATTCATATTTTAATGATGTTTTTGTAGTTTTAATTTGAATTCTTTCTCAACTTCTTCTAGTAAATGGGAAAAATTCAGTTTATGTATTATTTTAAACTTTTTCAAAAACCAGACTATATTAAGAATCAAAAACTTCCTTTTCAGTCATATTTCAGAAAAGACTTAAATGGGTATGGAACCTCTTTAATTCCATTTCCACAACTTTTCTTGAGAAAGGCCAGAAACACATAAACTAAAAATGTATTACTTAAGGTTTTTTTTCATTGTTGTTTTTAACACATCTTATTATATTTTAGTCGAAATGAAAAGTTGAATGTAAAAGGGGACATGAAAAAAGAAAATGCAGGATGAATATTTAAGCATAAATGAAATGCAGAGGAAGTTTCCATATGCTAAAGATCCATAAAATTCTGAATTATAAGTTGGAAAATATTTACAATAAACATATCATGTTTATTTTAAATACAGAGAACTATTATAAATTGGTAAGAAACATTACCAATGCAAAAATAGGCAAAGCATAGAAGAGACAATTTACACACACACATACTTTAAACATTCAATAAATACATACTCAACACACCAATAAGAAAAATGCAAGTAAAATAAAAAGATAACAACTCTCATATCGATTTCACAAAATTACATAAAAACAATTGCTAGTATTGGCAAATAATAAAATGTATGTCCCTGAGCATTGCTGTTAAAATATAATCTTGTACAATTTTTCTTTATTATTTTGAAATGATTTAGAACCTTTACAAAAAGAAAGCTTTTACTAGCTCATGACTTTTCACCTATAATTATACTTTTATTCTAATAAACATAGATAAACAAATATTTATGTAGGACTGTTCATTAAGTTCACTTAAGTATTATATTGAAATGTTATGTAAATAAATGAAGATTAGAAAGCGTCCAGAAATATATACCCTTATGATGGAATTCTACTTAGAAATTAGTAATGATATTTTTAGTAAATATTTCTTAATATAGTAAAATACCAAAAATGTAATAATGAAATAGCAGGATAGCAAACTGTACATTATAACCTTAGTTTTATAAACCAATACATAAAATTTAACATTTGTATATAAAATAAAAAGAGGCCAAGAAGAAAATATATCACAATATTAATGTGGTTGTTTCTGAGTAATTGCATTAGAGATGACTTTTATTTTTCATATTTTCCTATATTGAAAACAAATCTGAAATGAACAGAAAAAATTACTTTGAAAGATTTAACTGGAATGATTGAGATTATTAAATTTACTTAAAATAATATTAAGAGATGCTTTGGCTTGGATGTAATTTGTCCTCTAAAGGGTCCTAGGTTAGAAATTCGGTCCCCAGTGTGGAAGCATTAAGATGGTGGAATCTTTAAAAAGTGGGTCATGGAGGTCATAGCCCTCTGAATGGGATTAACCCTAGAAAGGGATTAAGGCTGGTTTTACAGAGTGTTACTTCTCCTGAAAGCAAGTCATTTTATAAAAAGAGCAAGACTGTCCCCTCCTGGCTCTCTGGCTTCAAGTCCTGCCACATGATCCTTCAGCAGGCAGCTAGTTCCCTTTCTTCTAACCTGTCATATTGTGACACAGCCAAGGACTCTCTCACTAGAGGCTGAACATATGGGGCATCTTGATATTGAATGGGACTTTTGTCCTCCAAAACTATGAGCTAAATAAACTAACTTCTTTTCTTTTCTCCTTTCTTCTTTTCTCTTTCTCTCTTTTTCTTTCTTTTTTTCTTTTTTATTTTGATACTACAGAATTAAAGTCCCAGGTACTTTAACACTAAACTACATTCCAGTATTTATGTTTTTAAATTTTGAGACAGGGTCTCACTAATTTTCTTAGGGCCTTGCTAAATTGCTGACATTGGCCTAGAAATTACAATCTTCCTGCCTCAGTTTCCCAAGGTGCTGGGATTATAGGATTGTACCAGTGAGCCCAGCAAAACCTTTTTCTTTAAAAAGTACTCAGGTATTTTGCTACAGTAACAGAAAATGGACTAAGAAAGAGATTATACTAAAAAGTATTCTAAAACATCCTTTGACAAATTTTAAGTTAATTTAATGAATAAATTTAGGGTTAATTTGTTGACAGCACCTTACAAGTTAGCAATTAAAGGCTCTAAAATGAGCCCTAGGCTTATTTTTATTCTTTAGGTAATACCTTTCTCATGTTAGGGGAAAAAGAAAAAAAGAAAAATACATTAAAAAGCAAACTGACCGCTGGCGGACTTTTACTCTTTTCAATGTATGTGAAAAGTTCATACAAAACCACTCCAAAGCTCCAAACATCCGAGGCCACAGAAAACTTGCTCTCCGTTAGAGATTCTGGAGCATACCTATACATGGAAAACATTTAAAAAGACAGTTATTTATGTGTCAATTCTAGATTTTGCCAACAAAACATTACTTGTTTGTTTGTTTTAAATTTTATAGAAAAGTGTTAACATAGCAGGCCTGAGACTGACATCTTGGAAGGACCTCCTTGCAATGTTGATCCTCGACTGGCACCGGGGAACTTAAGATTTCAGGAAGGTTTCTACAATTCCCTAAACGATGAGCACCTTATTTATGTCTAAAGTATTTATGCAAAAAATGTGGTTTATGTTCACATCCGCTTTTCTTATGGGACTCTGGAATTTTGGTATGTGCCAGGCATAGAGTGCTATGTAACCATTCCTAATAAAAAAATCTTGCATTCTAACGAGCTTCTCTGATAGACAATATCTCACGTGTTGTGGTCATTTATTGGTGGAAGAATTAAGTTATGTTCTATATAACTTTACTGGGACAGAAGATGGAAATTTGTGCCGGCTTTCCTCCAAGCTTCGTGCCACACACCTTTTCCCCCTTTGTTGATTTTGCTGTGTTATTCTTCCTGTAATGAATCATACTGTGAACAGGACTATATGCTGAGTACTGTGAGTGTTCCCATCAAACTGTAAAGCCTGAGAGTGGTCTTGAGAATCTCTGACATACACAGATAAGGAAAATCTAAAGAAATTTATTTCTGTCTCTATGATCAGCTCCAAGGTCAAATGCAAAATACCTTCTAAAAACTGAAAAATAAGTGTTTATGCAAAATTTGGGGTGAGAGGGGAAAAGAAATATAAATTTAAGAATAAAAGAATGATATAAAGTTTCCATCAAAAAGAAAAAGTGTTTCTGTACCTTTTCAAATGTTGTGACACTGGTATTAAATTTGAGTGCATTTAAAAGATTACTATAGTTGTTATTTAAATGTCGATATTTACCATAGTCAAGAAAATAATTATTCATAACTATCTAAAATTTACAGAGAAAAATTTAGCTATTCATTTAAAAATATCCTAGAGAAGGCTGGGAAATATAGCTCAGTTGGTAGAGTGCTTGCCTCATATGTACAAGGCCCTGGTGTTCAATCCCTAGCACCACACACACACACACACACACAAAATATATATATATATATATATATATAGTTTTAAGATTTCTTTTAATAAGTATATACACACAAAACGTTTAAAAACCAATTATTTAGATTTCTGAAAAAATCTACCTATGTAGCTGCTTCTCTGCTCTTTGCCTCTTCTTAATGTATGTCCACTCTATAGCATCAGTCTTTTGGTCTCAGGATCCCCCATATGCTCTTAAAAATTATTGAGATTCCCCCCCCAAAATTTTTGTTAATGTGGATTATATCTACTGATATTTGCTAATATTAAATATTGATATTAAGTATTAAAACTAAGAAAATACAAAACTATTAATTCATTTAGAGTAAAAAAGAAACCCATTACATCTTAAATAAATATGTGAGAAAAATATGATTTTTAAGCATTTTTTTCAAATCTCTTTAATGTTTGGGAAATAGAAACATGTCCTGTAGCCTCTGGAAAATTCTACTACATATTCATGAAAAAAATGAGAGTGAAAAATTCCAATTAAATCTTCATATTATTATGACTTGGAGCTCTACAGCACAAGTAGAGCTTTATACCTAAAATATGAATTTCACCATGTTGTTCATCTGTATAAATTTCACACCTTACACACTTGTCTACTATGTAAAGTCTGAACTCTACATGATATATGAGGCTACTCTTAGGTCATTTATGCTGCTCTAACACAATACCTGACACTATAATTTATAAAAAACAGAAATTTATTGGGAAGTCAAAGATCACAGTATAGACAGGCCCAGTTGTTGCAATTGATACATCCTTCAGAGGAAAGAATCATCGTGTCCTTACATGGAAGAAGACGGAAGTTCCACAAGAGGAACCAAATGCTGGGAAAAACCTCCTTCCTAAGAGCCTTAATCCCATTCCCAAAAGAGCCTCCTGTCTTAATCATCTCTTAAAAGCTTCCCTCTTAATACTATTCACATTGGCAACACCTAAATTTTGGAGAGCACACACAGGCCATACCAGTGCTCAATCTCTTTCTAGCCCCAATTACATCCTGTTTGTTCTGTTATTATGCCTGTCACTTGTAAGCCCTTGATTCTTTTGCTCTTATCAATTTCCTCATTGTCTATGTGGTAAATTCCTCCTAATCAATATTTGAAATATCATTTCTTAGTTGTCATCTTTTTTTTACTCTTCTCTTTACTTAAACACTTAGCAGAATTATTTGTACCCTTGTGTTTTACCATTATCTTCATTGTTGCACTTCCATACTGCATGAGAGTGATTTGATTATATATTTGTGTTATGGTTTGGATGTGAGGTGTCCCCCAAAAGCTCATGAGTGAGACAAAGCAAGAAGGTTCAGAGGAGAAATGATTGGGTATAAGAGTCTTAACTCAATCAGTGATTTAATCCCCTGATAGGGATTAACTGAGTGGTAACTGATGTGGTGGAGTGTGGCTGGAGGTGGCGGGAATTGGGGTATATCTTTGAGTATATATTTGTATCTGGCCAGTGGACTCACTCTCTGCTTCCAGATCACAATGATGTGAGCTGCTTCCCTCCGTCACACTCTTCTGCCATGATGTTATACATCACCTTGAGCTCCAAGAAATGGAGCCGGCCTTCTACAGACTAAGACCTCTGAAACTGTGAGCTCTCAAACTTTTCCTTCTTTAAAATTCTTCTGGTCAGACCTTTTAGTCACAACAGTGAAATAGCTGACTAAAACAATTTGATTTTTCCTAAATTATGAGCTCTTAAAGGGAAAGAATTATAGATAGTAGGCCTGTCAGCTCAATGAGCCTGCCATAACAAACTTTTCCTTTTACTCAACCTTACTAGTAAAGGACAGTTCTTTTCTGATGCTGATCCTATATTCTCAAATTCCTTGCATGGTTAATTAATGTCTATTACACTGAATTCATTAAGTTTACACAAAGTTTATCCAAATCATTGAATTTTCACATAATTAATTGCCAATTAATTCCATTTAACTTCTTAATCTCCCACCCTAGAAAATGAAAAATGAAGAAAAAAAAAGAATGAAGTAAAAAATAAATTAAATTCTGGTATCACTTGGACATGACCAAAAGAAATGATCATGTAGATGAGTCTTCTAGTTTCGTACATACTCTAAAAATAATTAAATGAAGGTATTGCTAACAATTATCATGAGGATACTCCTTAAAAATTGTTTTTAAAATTATGAAACAATTTAAATATATATAAATTAGGACATTAAACTACCATGTACCTCTCACTCAGCTAAACTCATCGTCTCTTATTTCATATATTACTCTCCATCTTCCCTGCTACGGAATTTATAAGAAGTGAATTCCAATATGACAATATTTCAATTTCAAGATACATTTCCACATCTCTAAAAGATAAGAATTCTTCTTTAAAAATATTCATAATACCATTATAAATTACACTTCTGTGGAAATAATCAATTTGTTCTAAATCATTGGTATCTTTTTACCTGACTTTTCCAGAATACCAATTTGTAATAGATGGTATCAACTGTAAAATTTACAGTTACAAAAAAAAATGAACATAAGTAGCACATATGGATGATCTATGAACTTAGCAGTAACAAACCAAACCATTACTATCTTTCTACTTATAAACACTATTGTTTGCATTAGCACTTCTAATTTTTTTTTATTTCTTACATACATGAGAATAGTGGAATGCATTACAATCATAATTATCCATTCACAACACAATTTTTCATAACTCTGTATATAAAGTATGTTCATGCCAAATTATGCCATTATACATGAGCTCTCTTATTATTATTATTTTTGCATTACAATTCTTAATACACCTTTATACCACAATTTATCATATCTCTGATTGTATATAAGGTATGTTGACACCAAATTCACATCTTCATACATGTATTTTGTATAATGATGAGGGTCTCCTTCCACCATCCATGCTATTCCCCTTTTCCTTCCCTTTCCCTCCCACCCCTATTCCCTATCTAGAGATAATCTTCCACTCTTGATTTCCCTTCCAATCGCATTTTGAATCATCCCCCTTTTATCAGAGAAGACATTCGGTATTTGTTTTTTTTTTTGGGGGGGGGGGCGTTGGGGGGGGGGATTGGCTAACTTCACTTAGCATAATCTTCTCTAATGCCATCCATTTCCCTGCAAATGCCATGATCTTATTCTTCTAATTTTTAAGTCACATATAAAAAGACTAAATAAAACATACTTATCTAAAATAAATAAAACCCCTCCTTTAACATTAATATCTGACTCAAATGACACTATCTTAATAGTATTATTTTAACAGATAAATAAAACAGAATTAAAGTCTACTTTTGGAATGTATACAAAACCAAAACAAATGATTTCAAAGTTATCCCTAGAAAAATGAAACATACCATAAAAGAATGAAGGCATAAAGTAAAAACGTTTCATCAAAGCATCTATCAACAGAACATTTTTTAATGTGTATATAGCACATTAAAAAATGAGGGTTTAATGTTCCTCAAAATAATTCACAATTTTCAGACCAATAATTATCTTCAGCTTCAAACTGTTATAATCTATAAAAATAATCAGTTAATGCCAGACTGTACACTACCATAGTTAGGAAAGCTTAAGAGCTCAAACTCTAGAATCAGACTATCTGGTTTAAATCCTAGTTCTACTCTGTACCAGTCACATACTAGTGGGCAAACTATTTAACTTATCTACACTTCAGTTCTTTCATGATTAAAATGGAGATGCAGGCTGGGCACAATGGCACATGCCTGTAATCCCAGCGGTTCAGGAGGCTGAAACAGGAGAATTGAGAGTTCAAATCCAGCCTCAGCAACAGGGAGGCTCTCAGTGAGACTCTGTCTCTAATAAAATACAAAATAGGGCTGGGGATGTGGATCAGTGGTCAAGTACCCTCGAGTTCAATCCCCAATACAAAAAAAAAAAAAAAAAAGGAGATGCAGGTAGAGGAACCCTTATCTAAAATTCTTGGGAACAGAAGTGTTTCAGATTTCAGAATTTTTCAGATTTTGGAATGCTTATATAAAGTATACCAGTTAAGCATCCTTATTCTAAAAATACGTAATTTAAAGTGCTCCAAAATTTGAAACTTTTCAAGTGTCATGTGAGGGCTAAAAGATTTTGGATTTCAGAATTTTGTAGTAGGATTCATTTTTATTTTTTTCTTTTGGCAGTGCTGGGGTGTCATTAGCCATCTATGGGCTGTGTGTGGACAGTTGTGCAACACAGCCTAATTGAATAGGGAAATCTGATGTCTGGGAACTTCCAGCAGACATTTCCTCTGGTTGACTGCCCAGATACATTGTGAGCCTTATTCAAGCTCTGCCAGGTCCCACACAGCACCTGAGATGGGGTGACCTGCTACAGTCACACAACCCCTCTGAGATGGATGTGACTTATTAAGATGTCAATCAACCTGCTGACTACAAGATATCATGAAGCCAGACTCCCCTCTTGAAACCTTCCCCCTGCCTTTTATATACCCCCTTAAATAAACCACAGGAGCCATTTTCTATTTGTCTAGCTCCAGCTCATGTGTGGACTGCATCTATCAGGGCTCCATCTTTAAAACTGTCTTTTCTGACTCTATCTTTTGTTCTTTACTAATTATTCTAGACTTTAATTTCTCAGGAGGCTTATCCCTCCAAGCAGGCAAGAATTCCCTGGTGAGATGCAAGACACCCCATCTTATGCATGCTGGATGAGTGTTCTATCATTGTGCTACACCCTCAATCCTTTTTCAGAGCATTTTGGATTTTCAAATTTGGGATACTCGGTATGAATTCTCCAAGGGCTGTTATGAAGATTAAGTAAGATGATCCATGAAATGCATTTAACCCAATGTAACACATATGATAAATGATTGCTACTATAATAAGCAATATGAAACATTATTATATATAATAATAATAGTAACAAGAATGTTTGAAGTTTGTGCTTTAAAATTTCATTTTATAATACTGAAATAGACTGTACTCACCAGAATATGGGACTTTCACCAGGTTCTTTCACTTTATAGTATTCTTTGTCTTGTGGCAAGACTTTAGTTAATCCAAAATCTCCAATTTTAACTCTGTTCTCATTCTCCACTAATATATTTCTTGTTGCTAGATCTCTATGGATATACCTTTTTGTACCAAGATACTCCATGCCCTATGAATAAAATAACATTTTGCTTTCAGCTGATTGCATAGACCTAATTTAAATGACTTCATCCTTATAAATTCCCTTTGTTAGCTAATAAAAAGTCTAGAAGATTTCTTAATTACTTCAATATGCTCTTCATCTACAAAAAAATAACAAGGATATTAGGTACCTTGCATATCTGAGATGTGTACTGCAGAAGTTTCTTGTGATCTATTCGTTCTTTATGTTTTTGGAGGTAGTCTCGTAAACTTCCATATGGTAAATATTCCATAATTAATCTTAGATTACGCCGTCCTTTTAATGTACAAACAGAACATAATATTTTACGTTGCTTTATTTTACTTACTACTAGAAAAAATATATAAATAACTTAAATAAATGTAAAATTATGTCTATGATGATAACACTTCATTATAACAAAGGTAATGTAGTAGTTAAGAGTTACTTAGTTAAAAACTACACAGGGTTTTTTTTAAAAACCCAAGTTTTGGGAACAATAATTAAAAATATGTTTTAGTCTTCTATGTTTACGTTTTAGTCTTCTTCTAAAATAAGTTGATAAGGCCTCTCAGAGTCACCACTTGCTGAGTGTGCATGCGGAGGACCGAGCTAGCTTGCAATAAACACCTCTTTGCTGCTTGCATCGATCTTGGGTCTCTGGTGGTCTTTAGGGGTCCCGAATTTGAGCATAACATATGGTGGCTCGTCCGGGATCCCCCTAATAAGCCTACCCAGACACCCCGATCGAGAGGTGATAAAAACCCAGCCGGTAAGTAAACGCATTGCCGATGTGTAAGAAAATGTACTCTGGTTGCGTGCAGGTCCTGGTTTTGTGTTGTGTGGTCGGCAAAAAGTCCAGGTGGACGCACCGAAGGGCAGCCGAGGGGTTTTGTGGGAGACGTCCCCAGCCCCTTTCTGAGTTCTGAGTGGATTGCCTGTAGTAAAGTATTTTGTGAAGTATTTTGTAGCTGATGGATCCGCGGTCCGCCTGAGCCTTTAGTTTCTGTGTAGCAATCCATGATGCGCTGCGAATTCTGTGGCTGTGCTGCGAATTTTGTGTTATGTGTGTTTGTTTCTATTGTCCTGTCTGTCTGCACCCCAACACCCTAAAGAGAACTAATCTCCCAATATGGGGTCATGAGACCCAATCTGAAGGGGATGCTCCCTCAATCTGTTTGTCTGAAGGGAAGGCCCCAGTTGGCTTGGGGCCAGCACCCACTTTCGTTTTTTTGACAATCTGAAAAGGGAATCTATGTCTTTGTGTGTCTTTTGTCTGTGTCTGTGTTAAGTGTGATGGTATTGTTTTACTTTGGACAGATGCAGAGTCCCAAGTTCCAATCTGCCTTAGATGTGTGGAGGTAACTTTAGCTAAATTTTAGCCTAAGAATGTCCCTAGTATGCTTCTCCTGTAAGGGACCAAAAGTCAATAGAACAGCTTTTCTGTTCTCACCTTTTACACCCCTTTTAGCTGTGTTTTAAAGAACTTTGATAAACTTTATTCCCCTTTGTTAAGCGAGATTAGGGAAGCAGTGTTTTGTTTTCTTCCCTTAGTTCGCTTGAGTGCACCCACTGCAGAGGGAAATGCCTGCTGGGGATCTAAGAACTTTGATACCTCGCTTTTTCTTTTTCACAAGACCCTGTCCTCATTATTAAATTGGCATTAATTGGCTTCAAGAGCAGGAACCGAATTTTCAGTCACAAATTTTGGCACCCCAGAGGGAACTTTAGAGGAGTCCCCACTCTCCCTTCTTGGGGAAGCCTAGCACTGGAGACAACTGCAAGCAGAGGATTAATCTTTTGGGAGCTGACTACTGAAAAGTTAGGAGATATGGAGAGTGCCTGATGCCTGGGGTTGGACCAAATTAGAGGAACTAATCCTGTAAGTAAAAGGACTGAGGGACTCCCAGCAGCTGCCAAAGTGATTTTGCTTTGGGGATCTCCCTCTTCCTTACCTGCACTTTAAGGATTACTCCACCTCTGTCTACTTAAAAAAGGGACAATGAATGCAGTAATGTGTTGATATTATAGATTGTTTCTTGGGGATGATCTTGGCTAAATGTGTATCTAAAAGATGATTTTTTAATTGTAACAATCAGGTATCTGAATGGGTTTCTAAAGCATTGCACAATCTTGCAGTTAAAAGTTGGGTTTAAGTAATTGTTTAGTTTGTGATTTCAGATAGTTCATGCTAGAAAACTTAAATACTTACGAAGGAAAATTAAAGAACTCTACTTCCAAGTTGGCAAGTAACTCCCAATCATTTAGTTTTATTTTTTCATCAATTTTTGAACTGGGTAGCCTGAAAAGATTTCACTAGGTGTACCAGTACATTAACTTGGGCAAGGATAATAAATTATGATATGATATCTGTTCCCCTCAGTGTGTAAGATTCAGGAAAAGAAAGTGTTGGATTGGGACATTGGTCTGGCTTATTGAAATGACATTGAATAGCAACAATCTTGGAAATTTTCAAAGCTTAATTTTGGATATACATGGTAGTGTGTGGTTCTCTTTTGAAATTTTTTTCAAGTGATTTAATGTAACTTAATACTACTTTAGGAACTTCAGAACAAAGGAAGTAGCTTAATGATCCTGAAGGAACTTCTTCTGATGGTGGCTTTTATATTATCAAGAAAGATCCTATTTTCAGTTTTGTGTGAGCAAGTTTTTCTAGTGTAGAAAGATGTAAAGGTATGAAATTTTGAGAATTGCATCTTAAACTTGTATCTTAATTTTCAACATCCCAACCTGAAAATTGTGACTTATGGTTAAAATTCCTTAGGCATGAGGCTTCTCCTCAGAATTCCAGTTTTTCTTGCTCCTTCCAGACCTCAGGCAGGATTTAAATTGAAATGCAAATAGAAGAAGCCTGGAGCTCAGTAGGAGACAGATCTGAGGCCCAAGGAAAAAAAAGAGTAAAAGTGCCTTTTTACCTGAACTCAAACTAGACCAAACCAAAAAGTAAATTGTATGGTATTTACTGTTAGGTTGGTGGCAGCAACTTGGTGGCAGTGACTTGGTGGAGACTTAGTGGCAACTTAGAACAAAGCAGCCCGCGCTGCTTTGAACATCAATCAGATGCCGGCAGAAACACCTGTCAATCAGCCAGATCTCCTGACTAACGCCTGTCCAATCCTGGAGTTCAGCCAACTCCCCTGACCAACTGCAAGGAGGCAAGGGACACTAGAGACACCTTTTCCTGTCCCAAGCCCTTCCCTTCCTGCTGTAAGCCCCATAAAAGTCCAGTCCGGTCAAGCTTCCACTAGGTTTCTCCTCAGACCCTTCCCCTGTCCCCTCTGTGGGTCTGATCGAGTTCCGCCCGGGAGTGATATCTCAATAAAGCCTGTTCAGTGGCCCTTTTAAATCTGCCAACTTTGGTTGCTGCCTGCCCAGCCTGATCTGACATCTACTAATTACTGGCCAGTCATCTTTTTTAGGACTCTTGCTTTTTCTTAGATTCTGTATTTTTTTTTTTTTTGAGCTCATGATTTTGATCCTACAGACTTAAGTTAATGTTTTTCTGATAAGTTCTATTTTCGATCAACTGTGGACTTTTTTTAAACATTTCGATGGAGATTTCAAATGAAAACAAAAAAGCTACAAGGCCTTACTATTACTATTACTATTGTGTTATGTGTTACACTTGTGTTATGTGTTGTATGTCTGTATGTGCTTATGTCCATATGTAATGACCATGATATAAAGATTGGCAGATATATGAGGAGCGCTTATAAAAAAAATAAAAGAATGGATCCAAATATCTTTGATTCGCGTGATTCAAATGGTTCAATTTAAATTGGGTAAACAAATAAAAGTAAAGATGTCTTTAAATTTTTATAGGTGTTTAAAAAAAAGGACACTAATAAAATGTTGGTGTCTATGAAATAATCTGCTTAAATTCAAAAATTTATAAGTATTGTTTCAAAATGTGAACAGAAAAGAAGATTAACAGATGAAAAAAATTAAAAGCGTCTAGGTATGGATTTAATAGAGGAAAAATGTGTTTCTGGATAAGAGAGTCTCTATGATTAAGTAAATAAGAGGGTTTAAGTAAGTGATAAAAAAGGTCTATATAAATTGGTTATAAGTGTAAGTTTTTTTTTTTAGCAAGTAATCTTAAAAGAAATTAAAAAATATATAACTATGGTTAAACAACAACTGTTATTTTTCAATATTGTACTATGTTATTTCTTTAAAAGCTAAATTTGGTTAATATAAAAACATCAATGTAATTGTGGTGCTATTAATGTGTTCATATCTTCCAGGTATACAAGTGTGTAAGAAAAAAGAGCATTATATCAAGCTGGTGTTCTAAAATTGTATGGTAATTTTAGGCTTAAAAAACATGTTGGAGATTTATTTATATCATTTGTGTTCTATAACCGGACTTGTTATCAATAAGATATGTAAAGTTCTATGTTACTTTTTACACTGAGATACAATTTAAATGTATTTTTAAATTAATGAGAGCCTAAAAAAAATAAGTTGATAAGACAACTTTAATTTTCCTCATTTGTATTGAACAAAATCATGTAATTTAATAATCTTTTGATAGAAAATATAAGGAAAGATTTTTTTAAAAAAATAAATTCTTGTTAAATTTAAGCAAGTGGTGAGGAGAATGATTAATCAAGCCAAAGACTTCCTGTAGTTATAGCCCATGACTACCATGCACCATCTCTATAGTATGTATCTGTCTATGGGCATTGTCATTGTCATATGCTAAGTCCAGATCTTAAAACATTAAGTGTTTTGATTACCTAGGATGTCAAAAACAAATCTTCAGTTTAAAATAGGTTTCAATGTTCAACATACCAGCACTGTAGCATACTCCTTTGTACTTTACAATGTTGTCATGCTGCAGAGATTTCAGGATTTCAATTTCCCTTTCAAAGTCTCTGAGATGCTCCTCAGTACTGTGTTGGAGTTTTTTTACAGCCACCACTTCCCCAGTGTTGTCCTGTAGAGGATCATACCGGCACATCTCCACACTCCCAAAATTACCCTAAACAACACACTCCATTAAAATAGAAATCTCAAATTTTTCAGACAAATTACTAATGAATTCTAATTATACAGGAAATCCTAGTAGCTGGAATTAGTAGACATATCTCTAAGCTAACATTAGGCAGATTGCAGAGCAAGAAAAGGAAATATTATCTCAACAAGTGGGTAGTAAACCTATATATTTAATTTTTTCAAAAGAAATTATATAGGCTAAAATGCAAACTATTTCAAAAAGACATTTTAAAAAAGGATAAACATTAATTACTAATTAATTAATAATTTTAAGCCAAAGGACACGCCAGAGAGTTATTATATTTCTGTAACTAACTTTCAGAAAGAATTTCTTCAGAATGTATCTGTGATATCATCTAAGTGATCTGGATGAAATAAGAGTCTGTTACAAACTGAATGCCTACACTGTCTCAAAGTTTACCAGGAACCCTAATCCCCAATGTGACTGTATTTGGAGATAAGGCCTTGTGAGGAAGTAATGAAATTTAAATGAAGTCATTAGAGTGGGTCCTAATGTAAATAGGCTAGTGCCCTAAAAAGAGCTGGAAGAAACACTAGAACTTTCTATCCCATGGGAGGACACACTAAGCAGGTGCCTTTGAAAGCTAGAAAAAGACACTTCACCAGAAAACAAACTCTGCTGGAAGTTTTATCTTGGATTTTCTATCCTTCAGAATTGTGAGAAATAAACTGTTGTTTAAACTACCCAGTCCAGAGTATTCTGCTATAGCAACCCAAGCACTAAATACAGAATCTGATCTATTTAAGAAAATAAATTTTTAACTTATGGGGATGTTCCTACATTTTTTTAAAAGAGATTAGCCTTTAAGAAATTCATTCTCCTTTTACTTAGACTCAAGTTATTTATGTAGAATTGGTATGTCAACATATAAAATTAAAGTATATAATTTGTATATTAATCAAATTCATGTATTTTGAATATTACTGTATTCTTAAAGAATATAGTTAGTTCTTGAGCTACAAGACTATATGAGTGACTAAATTTTCAGTTATATACTTGATGTCAATTTTTTAAAAACCAAGACCAATGTAGGCTCAAAGTTAGATCTCTATTTTAGAGAAGGAGCCATGTGCTGCTGAGGAGAAAGTATATTCACTTGTTGATGGATGGAATATTCTATATATATATGTCTGTTATGTCTAAATTATTTATTGTATTATTTAGTTCTATAGTTTCTTTATATAGGTTTTGTTTGGAAGATCTGTCTAGGAGTGAGAGAGGTGTGTTAAAGTTGCCCAGTATTATTGTGTTGTGGTCTATTTGATTCTTGAACTTGAGAAGGGTTTGTTAGATGTACACAGATGCTCCATTGGTTGGAACATAAATATTTATAATTGTTATGTCTTGCTGATATATACTTTCCTTAAGTAGAATGAAATGTCCTTCTTTGTACCTTCTGATTAACTTTGACTTGAAGTCCACTTTATCTGAAATGAGGATGGAAACCCCTGCATGTTTTCACAATCCATATGAGTGATATCTTTTTTCCCATCCTTTCCCAGTCTGTGGATGTCTTTGCTTATGAAGTGAGTCTCTTGGAGACAGCATATTGTTGAGTCTTGCTTTTTAATCCAATCTGCCAGTCTCTTTCTTTTGATTATTGAATTTAGGCCATTTACACTCAAGGTTATTATTGAGATATGATTTGTATTCCCAGTCATTTTGATTTATTTCTAGTTTTTAATTTGACTTAGTTTCTCCTTTGGCTGAATATTCCTTTAGTGTAGTTCCTCCCTTTGCTGGTTTTCATTTTTTTTCACTTCACCCTTATGGAATACTGTGTTGAGAATTTTCTGTAGTAGAGGCTTTTTAGTTGTAAATTCTTTTAATTTTTGTTTATTATGGAAGGTTTTAATTTCATCTTCAAATCTGAAACTTAACTTGCTGGATATAAAATTTTTGGATGGCATTCATTTTCTTTCAGAACTTGAAATATATTATTCCAGAACCTCCTATATCTGAGGGTCTGGGTTGAGGAATCAGTTGAGATCTGAATTGGTTTCCTCTTAAACATAATTTGATTTTTTTTTCTCTCACAGCCTTTAAGATTTTATACTTATTCTTTGGGTTACGTATTCTCATTATAATGTGTCTTGGTGTGGGTCTGTTATAATTTTATACATATAGACCATACTTTATGCCACAAAGCAACTCTTTGTAAATACAAAAAAAAAAAAAAAAGGAAATAATACCCTGCATTCTACCAGATTACAATGGGATGAAACTAGAAGTCAAAAATAAAATAAAAAATAGAAGCTACTCTAACAAATGGGAACTAAATAATACATTATTGAATAACAAACAAAAGGACAGTAGAAGAAATCATGGATGAAATTTTAAAAAATTCTTAGAGGTAAATGACAACACCAGAACAACATATCAAAATCTCTGGGACACTACGAAGGCAGTACTAAGAGGCAAGTTTACTGCATTGAGCTCATTCACTAAAAAAATAAAAAGTCAACAAATAAATGACCTAACATTACATCTCAAAGCCCTGGAAAAAGAAGAACAAATCAATATCAAAAGCAGTAGAAGATAAGAAATAATTATGATCAGAGATAAAATCAGTGAAATTGAAAAAAAGAAATAATTGGGGAAAAATGACAAAACAAAAAGTTGGCTCTTTGAAAAAATAAATAAAAAAGATAAACCCCTAGCAATACTAACAAAGAGAAAAAAGAGAGAAAACTCAAATTACTAAAATACAAGATGAAGAAGGAAATGTCACAACATACACATCTGAAATTCAGAAGATAATTAGAAACTATTTTGAAAAATTATACTCCAATAAAATAGAAAATATCAAAGACATCAACAAATTTTTAGAGACAAACTGAATGAGGAGGTCATACACAATTTAAGCAGATCAATTTCAAGTAATGAAACAGAAAACACCATCAAAAGCCTACCAACCAAAAAAAGCTCAGGATCAGACAAATTCTTAGTCAACTTCTACAAGACCTTCAAAGAATTAGTACTAATACTCCTCGAAGTATTCCATGAAATAGAAAGGAAGAAAAACCTTCCAAACTCATTCTATAAGGCGAATACACCCTCATACCAAAACCAGAAAAAGATACATCAAGGAAAGATCAATATCCTTGATGAACATAAATGCGAAAATTCTCAATGAAATTCTGTCAAATCACATATAAAAACATATTAAAAAGATAGTGCACCATGATCAAGTGTGGTTCTCCCCAGTGATGCAGAGTTGGTTCAACATATGCAAGTCAATAAATGTTATACATCATACTAATAGACTTAAAAACAAAAATTATATGATCATCTCAACAGATGCAGAAGAAGTATTCGACAAAATACAGTATCCATTCAACTTCAAAACACTAGAAAAACTAGGGATAGTAGGAACATACCTCAACATTGTAAAAGCTATATATGCTAAACCCAAGGGCAGCATCATTTTAAATGGAGGAAAATTGAAAGCATTCCCTCTAAAAACTGGAAAAAGACAAAGATGTTCTCTTTCACCATTTCTATTCAACATCATGCTTGAAACTCTAGCCAGAGCAATTAGAAGAAAGAAATTAAAAGGATACAAATAGGTAAAGAAGAACTCAAACTATGACTATTTGCTGATGACATGATTCTATATCTAGAAGATCCAAAAAGTTCCACCTGGAAACTTTTTAAACTAATAAATGAATTCAGCAAAGTAGAAGAATATAAAATTAATATCCATAAATCAAACATATCCCTATATATCAACAATGAATCCACTGAAAGAGAAATAAGGAAAACTACCCCATTCACAATAGTCTAAAAAAATAAAATATCTGAGAATCAATCTAACAAAAGAGGTGAAAGACCTCTAAAGTGAAAACTACAGAACACTAAGGAAATAAATTGAAGAAAACCTTAGAAGATGAAAAAGACCTCCCATGATCCTGGATAGGCAAAATTAATATGGTCAAAATGACCATACTACCAAAAGCATTATACAGATTTAATGCAATTCTTATTAAAATCCAATGACATTCTTCATGGAAATAGAAAAAACAATCATAAAGTTCATTTGGGAAAATAACAGACCCAGGATAGCCAAAATAATCCTTAGCAAAAAAAAAAAAAAAAAAAGTGAAGCAGGAGGCATTACAATACCAGACCTTAAACTATACTACAGAGCTATAGTAACAAAACACGGTATGGTATTGGCAACAAAACAGACAAGTAGACCAATGGTACAGAATAGAAGACACAAAGAAAACCCCACATAAATACAGTTATCTCATACTAGACAAAGGTGCCAAAAACATTCACTGGAGTTTTCTCCAGCTTATTCAACAAATGGTGCTGGCAAAACTGGAAATCCATATGCAGTAAAATGAAGTTAAACCTCTACCTCTCAGCCTGCACAAAAATCAACTCAAAGTGGATCAAAGACTTAGGCACTAGAACACAGTCCCTGCACCTAACAGAAGAAAAAGTAGGCTCAAATCTTCACCATGTTGACCTAGGATCTGACTTCCATAACAAGACCCCTAAAGCACAAGAAGTAAAACCAAGAATCAATAAATAGGATGAATTCAAACTAAAAAGCTTCTTGTCAGCAAAGGAAACAATCAATAATGTGAGCAGAGAGCCTACAGATTGGGAGAAAATCTTTACTACATGCACCTCAAATAAAGCACTAATCTCTAGGATATATAAAGAACTCAGAAAACCTAACACCAAAAAAAAAAAAAAACCAAATAACCCAATCAATAAATGGACTAAGGAACTGAACAGATACTTCACAGAAGAAGAAATTCAATCAGTCAACAAATATATTAAAAAAGTTTCAACATTTCTAGCAATCAGAGAAACATAAATCAAAAATAAACTGAGATTTCATGTCTCTCCGGTCAGAATGGCAATTATCAGGAATACAGGCAACAATAAATGTTGGCGAGGATGTGGTGAAAAAGGTGCACTCATACATTACTGGTGGGAATGAAAAT